TCCCCCCCCCCCCCCCCCCCCCCCCGGGGGTTTTTTGTGTGTTTTGTTCACATTGCCTTGTATGTTGGAGGTGATTATTTATAAGAAGCAAAAGACCAAGTTACTTTCACCATGTCCATGTTCATATCTGTTTTGATTAGAACTTTTTGCCTAACAGAGAGATAATAGAGCGAAGGTTTCTGTAAAATCATGTCCAAATGTATGTATTTCGTCTCCAGGTCATGATGGACAAACTAGAATTTCAGTATTACAAGTATTTCTTGTTATCAACATCACATAATTTTCAGAGAAATGAAACATATTTCTAAAAACACGAGAAATATCAACTTGCTTGGCATCATCGAGTTCCTATAGATTATGAAATATGACCAAGAAACAAAGAACGATAATAAAACGCAGTGTAATTTTTCAGTTCTATGCTTCAGATAAATCTACATTCTCATTGCCAGAAACTCGAGACGAGTCTTGCACTTCTTCGCTATCAGACGGTTGAGATTCATGCTTTGCTGCAGCTTGCAACACCCTGCTTTGGACATCAGCAGATGAGGGAGAGGTGGGTAGTCCATTACGGTTTGTTTCTAGCTTGCCAGCAGCCCATAAAATTGCCTCACCTCCTCGTCGAACAGGAGCTAGCACTAGACTGAAAAGTGGAAGACCGCAAACAACATTAGTTTACGTCGAGCAGAACTCTTAAGACATAGTCACAAGGAATGGGAGATACTAAAATGATCGACTTGAGCCCTTGACACTAAATTCAACAAGGGTCGAGCACCTAGGAGGCCTCAGCTCGACTCCACCCATGCTCAACCAACTTGATCCCGTCGAGCAGAGGATAGGAGCCATAAGTGAAGAGAAAAGGGCTCTGATATGTTTATATAACAAGGATAAACAATGACACTGCTATGGCTGCAAACATTGATGACAATCATATAGAATCCAAGTTGCCCTCCTAAGAAACGAGTAAGATTCTCTGATTAACTCAAGAAAATAACTGCATATATATATATATATATATATATATAGAGAGAGAGAGAGAGAGAGCCTGAGGAGGAGGTGGAGGTGCAGGTGCAGGTGGTTTACAGGAGCTTTTGAAGAAGAAGATGAAGGTGATGAATACATAGCTACACACCTGCACGCCAATATATGTGTATATGTATAACAGAGAGAGAGAGAGAGAGAGAGAGAGAGAGAGAGAGANGTAGTTGGAGCGTGCAAATTGGGAATCTCCTGCTTTGTTCTGTCACCTTTGATCTACTCAGTTATAGGGAGGGATAAAGGAAGTTGAGATGCGTCATTTTCTGAAATGCTATACTAGAAAATGAATATCTTAGAGCTTCTTAACAGCTATCAAGTTTTCTACATTTTTTGGTACATGTTTCAATCTGCTCCTTGATTTTTCTTTCTCGAGTCATTTGTTCCCACCCCCCGGTTTCAATTGTTGGCGGACTCTCGATATCTAAATCCTATATAATTGAAAAAAATTTGTAATGATCATCTCCTTTGCAAGCCTAGTTTTTATTCCTAGGATAACCTCCTGGTTTCTCAGTTACTTCTAATTTCGTTAGATGCTAAGGGAAGAGTTTGTTCAGATAGTTTTATTGATAGATACTTAAAACTCTACCGGGGATGTTCTTTGACAAGCAAAGATTGGAGTATATAGGATTAATGCTGGAACTTTAATTTATCCATACACTGTATGGGCAATTATGAAAAGTTTTATGGCTTCAAGCTCGAGTACAGACCGACACTTTAATTTATCCATACACTGTACAGGCAATAATGAAAAGTTTTATGGCTTCAAGCTCGAGTGCAGACCGACCTGATAAATTTTTGTCATACATGGTGCCATCAATTGGTGAGGTAAAGAATTTTAAAAAGTGAAAAATGTTCTAAATATTTTATTGATGTAGCGATGATTTTTGCTGAGCTAATTTGGTGTGAATGGTTGCAGATAAAGAAGGATATGGATGACGAAAATGAAGAGATTTCTTATTCATGGATCAGAGAGTATCACTGGGATGTACGTAATGTAGCTTATTGTCAGTTTCAAATGACTTTTACTGCAGCTGTTTGCATAACGTATCTTGATAATGGTTCCACAGGTTCGAGGTGATGATGCAGATGACCCTACTACATATCTGTTGGCATTAGGCGAATCAGAAGCCAGATACCTGGTAAGTTTATAATTTTTAGCTTGTAAATTCCATAGAGGGTGCCTCTTTGTTCTAATTCACGTCGAACTTAATGTAGCCTGTTCCAACAAAGCTCATGTTAAGAAAAAAGAGGGCGGCAGAAGGAAAATCAAGTGATGAAATTGAACAATTTCCTGTGCCTGAAAGAGTGACAGTTCGGAACAGATCCACTGTTTCTGCCAGAGAATTGAACGATGCTGAGGTTTTGTTTGATGTTACTCTTGATTCTTCGATTCTGTTCATTATTTTAGCTATTATATCAATATCGTCTCATGGCGTGCTTATTAGCAGGATTATATACCTTCAAAGGGAAGATTCAGCGTGGATGGAAAGGGTGTGCACCACATTGATGCTGATGATCACTATAGTGGAGCTGAAGACTATTTATCTGAGTAGTTCCTTCTTTTATACTGAACAATAAACTGTAATAAAAAAGATTTGCTCAAAAATTAAAAAAATTAAAAATTAAAACTATAAAAAATAAAAACTATAATTTAAAAGAAAGCTTTGTAGTAGGACTTGTGATCTTGAAATTTTAATTTTTGTCTTTGGACCTAAATTTGGCAGCATATATTTTCTTGATTTGACTACCCCCCCCCCCCCCCCCCCCNAGAGAGAGAGAGAGAGAGAGAGAGAGAGAGAGAGAGATGATGTTGAAGAAGAGGATGGTGATTATAAATTTATGCAGACATGGCAGGGATGTTTTGGGTTATTAGTTTCGCTTTTGTGTTGCTTTTGTGTTCCTCCTCAAAGTTCGTTAATATACAGAATCACTTGCTGTCTCATATTTTCACGATTCATAACATATATGAATAAGAATACTAATACATACAAACATGATGCAACATAATTGTTTGCATATAAATTATGAATTAAACTCTTACCTCACATCCCGTCGAAAATCTTCTGCATTCTCATATGAAGCCACTCGTCGATATACAGTCTGACAATGGTTAGAGTGGAAAATAAGGGCAGTGGTGAATGGAAATTTGCAATTTCAAGCAAGATGGAAGATAATTTCCACTTCCTTTTTTCTGCTTTGAAACGGCACTACTACTTTAGAAATATGAACCTAGCATGTAGCCTTGGAAAAGAGGACAAATTATAGGTTCTAATGATATGAAAAGTGTTTCACAATCTAGTAGCATTTTTGATCAAATTATAGATATCCTTTTGCATCCAAGAAAACTGTCAAAACTAAATTATTGGATCAAAAGATCATATTTTCGTGAAATGGGCTGGCAAAAATCTGATGAAGAAATAACAGTACGAGATCAGATAAATTGATCAAGAGGACACAGGACGAGACAACTGTCAGTTCTAAACTATGCCAAACCCATATATCAAACAAATCAAAAAAAA